GATATTTTACATGATTACATGGCACAACTTCCCAAAAGACAAGTCATCTGCATTCTTGCCATCAAGAGAATGTGAAATCTCATCAGGTAATTTGGCAGGATACCCAATGCTCTGGCTAACATTCAAACTGATTCAATAAAATCTTCTTGGGCAATCAGCCGCGTTAGCTGGTTACCGTAGTAAACTGACGTTTCAGGAACAAACTCTGTCCTCATCTTCAGGGTTCTGATGTGACTGAGTTACACAGGCGACTTCCGAGGATCCAGTCACATCAGAACCCTGAAGATGGGCACAGAGTTTGTTCCCAAAACGTCAGTTTACTACGGTAACCAGCTAACGCGGCTGATTGCCCAAAAAGATTTTATTGATTGTACTCGCCGCGAAAGTCTCAAATCCTATTTCTCTATTTCACAAGATGCAACAAAGGATTAAGGCAGAGTCTAATTTTCTTAATCTGAAAGTTTTTCTGGTCACATCACTAATAAACCAATGTACAAATCTCATTAGTCAAGAGAAATTTTGTCACAGAGATAAGGCAATGAGTACCTGTGTGGATGCCCAACCTCCATCCGTTAGCCGCTGGGAATTGAGCCACTTCACAATGGGGTCAATCATCAATTCCTGTCGAGCTACATAAGTCAGTAGAGCGTAAGCTGTGGCCTGTATGTTAGTTGAGTCATATTTATATGGAAGCCTTGGCAAAGAGAATGGCTTTTGATTTTCCATTTTGTACGGTGGTGGAGGCACAGCTTCTTTCGCCCAGTACATTAAACCACCTGAAAGAAGTAAGTGAACATTTCTCTTGATACACTGACCTAGAAAAGAGTGCTGACTTCACTGATACATCTTCAGCATTTTACAGCACATGCTGTATGGCAGCAATGGTATATTATATATAGGAACGTCCACTATATTTATTATAGTGGTTAGTGACTGTCATGCGTGGATGTCTCACTCTATTCCTTGCATTATCCATCTAACACAGTTCATCTAAACTTATCTGACAAAGCACTACACATCACCAATGACACATCTGGTGGCCTCCAAAATTCTGGTGTAAGGATAAACAATAAGTGAACAGGACAATACGTTGAAAGTATTAAAAACACGCCTCCACAAGCTATATTCTGAAGATGCACTTTAATAATATCCTACCAACTGGCATCTTTCCTTTAAGTTTACTAACCAAAATGTGACTTGTATTTCATGTTTTCCAAATTACAATAGGTAACAATATCAACTGTATTTTTTTTAAAGCTTTTTGGTTGTGTTTTATGTAAACTGTTCAATCAGATTTAAATTTCACTTGCACAACTGCAGGGTGCCCCAAAAAAAATGTAAACATAATATGGAATATTAACCTTGTTATTGATCTCTATGTTGTTTTATGAGGGGAATCCAGTGTGGTCTACACCTAACAGATGATACCACAGTATCTTTTCCCATGATTCATATACGTAAAGTTGGGGAGGGTCGATGGAGTTTCAAGCAAAACAAAATACTTTTGAAGTGGCACTTAAAATTCAAGAATGTGCCTGAAGTGCAAAGATGGTGGACATATGAATTTGAAACCACACCCCCAACACAATTAACAATTAAAAGAATTCAAGATGAATTAGAGACGTACAGTACTGTGAACGACGTGTAAGCAACACTCTGGTAGAACACACACACTCTACTATGTGTTACAGCAGTTAACACAATTGTTGAAAATATCTTTCAGGTGCTGTGCTACTGACATGGGATTTCAAAGTCAAATGTACAAAGGCTTCTCTAAACAGCCAAGTGGAAATACTATTCGCCAAAGTTACAGCATGCAATGACTGAAGACAATCCTGACCGCAGACTTGAATTTTGTAAACGGATTCAGAGAAAGGCAGGTGACGACGCAAAGTTCCTGGGCATGATTGCTTGCAACATCATCCCCACCCAAACTCATCCCTTTAACTCACCTTCTCGTCGAGCATGTTTGGCAAGGATGCCAAATGCAGTTTCTGCTGTTGATGCTTTACTCAGCAATAGAGAATAAGCAACAATGGCTACTTCAAAAGGTTCGCCATGTTCATCCAGAAGCTTTAAGTTACGTTCCAGCCACCTGATTGCCTTGTTCTGGGCTGTAGACACCTGTGACCCTAAGCCCTATGAACAGTACCAAAAACATTCACTTGAAAGCAGCTTCTCCATGGAGCAAGGTCCTTCAGGTAGTCAAAAAACACATACGAAGGTACTAACAAAAATACCCAAGCCAAAAGTGTTCCACAAGTCTACCACTGGACCTTATTACAACTTAATTCAATCTAGCCCATGCCTCTCCTCTTTCTCTAATTTTAATATCATCTTCCAATCTACGGCAATATTTCCCAAGTGAAAGATTATTCTCTTCCGGTTTTCTGTCAAAAATTTTGTATTTCTCATTTCCCCATGCATGTTACATACCTCACCCACCTCATCCCTGCAATAATCATTAAATGAAGAATACAAATCATGTATCTCCATATTATGCAAGTTTCTTTAATCCCTTGTCACTTTGCCTTTCATACATTAAAATATCAATCTCAGTACTATGGTCGCAAATGCCATGAATATATGATATTCCCTCTGTGCAGCATGCCAAGTTCCACATTCACGTTAAACAATGTTCCAACACACGCCTACTTAAAATCTTTAGGATTCTCCAGGCTGCTGCTCTACGACTCACCCCTGTTAAGTCTTTAACTGTTTCCAGCATGATGAGAACGTGTGCAGTCAGGGAGATGTTGCGGAACTTCACGTGATCATCGGGCCACACCAGAGAGTCGTTCATCTTACGATCTGGGGACCACGTCACCTCATAAAAAGCTCCGTCCCACGTCTGATGCTTCAGAACCCATGACACAGCTTTAGAGATCACCTACATGCAAATCAAACACTATCAGCAAATGGAACAAAGTTGTTTTAATAAATCATCATTATTTGATAGCTCAAAGAATACTTTCTACACACTCTCTTTTCATGCATGTCATTGTACTCGTTCTGTGATATGGTATATGTTGAGAACTCAGTGCAATCATCCTACTGTTGCACCTCTCGGCAAATGATAACATAAAATGTCACGTAATTTCTACCGATACAATTTGTTTCTTTTCTAAATGTACATACGTCCTCATTTACTGAGAACACTGCTGAGCTTTCTCTGGTTAAGATCAGGTATTTCTGCCTCTAAATACTTGTAACTTATCACACACAAAGGGGTAAAATGAGTAGTGATTAACTGTTATAGACATATCTGCATCAGCAGTGCGCATTACTCTTGATTCTTGTAGATATGATTTCACCAATACTATTTAAGTGTCCGGAACATTGTGATATTTGTTTTGGGAAGGGTGTCACTTGACGTTTCAGCATCTCTTATTAGGAATGCATAACAGTCTTATTTGTGAGATTTGAGTTTAGTGGTTGTGAAGATTTGGATTGCGGTCTACTGGGGTATAATGCTGTGTAGTCTTGCAGTGGTTTACCAACATTTCAGAGGAAATGACTTCATCCAATAATATTAGTAACTATGCGGTTTCATAACCCAGAACACCATATTCAACTGTCTTATTTCTAGTAACTAGACAATGAACCAGTTAAGTATTACGTTAATCAATAATTGTTTTCAGAATAGCAAATCTCCGAACTATGATTTGAACTTGCGACCTCCAGTACAACAAGAACCAGAGCCACACATTACTGCACAACACTTAATTTATCAAGAGAGTCAAAACACGTTCTTAGAACTGGGAGATGCATATCACATGTATCATTATTTGCTGCTTTGTTTCTACACCACAGGTTGGCAAATATTTTTCCAGGCAACCAGAATGTGTCTCACAAGAGAAAATCTGTATTTAAAGAATTCTAAAATACCAATCAGTTATTCACACTGACTCCAACACATTTTATTTTATTTTATACTAAACGAGGGTCATAAAAACACCACTGCTTAAACTTAACAACAGCAGCAGCAGCAACAACAACAATTTAAGTAGCTTAGCAATTGAATTGTTTTCATTAAAATGACAAAATTTCACACACATGGATTTGACAATCTCTAAGGTGCCATTATCATGGAAGATGATAATCATTATTAAATAATTTATGATGATTATATTATTAGTGAAAAATACTTGATGTCACTCCATTAAATGTGATATCAAGAATTCCATTATGAGCCGGGATAGCTCAGTCAGTATAGTGACTAGCTACGGGCTGGACGACCGGGGTTCGATCCCCGACAGGGGCAGAGGATTTTTCCTCTAGCCTCTGGGGCCCACCCAGCCTCCTCTACAATGGGTACCGGGGTCCTTTCCCGGGGGTAAAGCCGGCCGGGGCGTGATGCTGACCACTCACCCCCATCTAGTGCCGAGGTCAAGGAAGAGAGGAGCTATACCTCCACTCACCCCAAACGCCTACATGGCGTATAGTGGGACAAACTTTACTTTACTTATCAAGAATTCCATTGGAATGTCAGTGTACTACACACAGTGCACCTATCCTACGTTGTTTCTTCTGCAACCTGATTACAATACCGTCTCCAAATAGAGTACAAGAAAGGAAAACACTTTGTAATGGCTGGATCATTAATAATATTGAAATGTCATGAATCATAGCTTTCCCACCTGCACGACAGGTACTCTATTAACTAATTCACATCCATATTACCTCGGTATCAATATAAATGAAGTTTTCCCACTCATAGAAACTTGCTTCCTGAAGCACCTGGGCAACAAACGCTGTCAGCCACACACTGGATGCCGACTGGTTCCTGTAAAGGAAGACAGCTACATTACTCAACACACTCTGAAACCACAAGAATGCAAATACAAAAGCAACAATAAATTAAAAGTTTCTCAAATGCCTAAGCACATGCTATGAAGGCGAAGGGGACACTGAGCTAAACTTTCACATATTCCACGTTTTGATACTAGTTGTAGAGATGTGGTTAACACTGTGCTCTGATCACACTACCTCCTGGGTAATAACCTTTGATATCCAGTCATCAGGTTGTGTGTGACCCTGAGCTGGTCTCACTCAAGTGGCAGTATCCTTGAACCTACTCCTAACAAGTAAAAAGGTGCAACATACCAGTCACTCCTGAAGGAACTGAAAGACCCATCTTTCTTCATGAAAGACAACGCGCGCTGGTACCCAATGTTCATGTGGTAGAAAGAATGTTTCTCCTGAGTCCTGTTACGTTGGTTGATGAGACGCATGTACATCGTAGTCATCATGTTAGCAGCAAAACTGAACACAGTCTGCTCAGCACTGTCCTGTGTATCAAGACATCAGATTCTAATAGTAACCAAACAACCACATAAATCTGCATAAAGCAGATTACATTAGCAGGGAACCAGAGAAATTTGGAGTAGCCACAAGATGTACAGTTTTGTCCATTACTTGGCATTTACTATCTTTCTATTTGCTCTTAAACTGCTGCTGTTTCTGTAACTTTCTTCCGAAGAAAGAAAATAAATAAACTGGAGAGCATTACTTGTAACAAGGTCATAAATGCCAGTCACTTAGTAAGAGAGTTGAAACATAAAGAACGTAGCTACTTCAGGCGCATAGCAGATGCTGGCTTGCCAGTCCACTATGTTGCCAGGCGCGTCCAGCTGAAGCATGCGAAGAATTATTAGCAAGGGCAATGTCGCAATTTGTATTTTGCCCCCTCTGCATGCCAGCCGCCTCTGTTCCTGTAAGTCACTTTAGTATCCATTAAAACGGAGGTTCCCAAAGTGTGGGGCGCGTCCCCCTTTTTTAATGAAATATGGAGAAACATTTTTAACATCCTTCCCTTGATTGAGGCAGTTCAGCAGTAGCAGCCATCAAAACAAAGTATCGTTCTACGATGAACCTGGAAAACGACCTTAGAGCGGTCATTTCAAAACCCCAAGCTCGGTATGATAAGTTATGTTTACAGAAGCAACCACATCCATCCCACCAATCCAGGTATGAAGCATATATTTTATTACAGTTTTTTTAAATTAAATGCAGTGAATAATATATACTAAATTATGAAAAAAATGTATACTCATAGCTAAATTTTATGTCAAGTCTGTTTGCTTGCACTTGTTCTGGAAGGGGGGCATGATATTTATGAAATGCTGTAAGGTATAAAAGTTTGGGAACCTCTGCCTCAAAATAATTTATAATGTAAATAACCAAGGATTGAACAATAAATCTAACAGTTGCATACTTACCATGGGCAAGTTAAGGAGAGATGTAGCATTGACAGGCATGGTGGGGAAAATTGGTCCAACGACATCACCAACAATAGACACAAATGCCCTATTTGAACCATAAATATAGTAACGATCTTCATTATATGGGATGATGGGCGTCTCTGTCACATTCACATGCAGATATTGGAATACGTATGCCCGGTTGCTGAGATCTAGCAAGATGGACTGGTGCCTGTACTGTGGCAACCCATCAGCCTATAATCACAAATACCACAATTAAAAGTCTTCTCCTTTACTACCTGATTATCATTAATAAGGATTTAAGCATACACAGTGATTAAACAAAATGAATTCTTCAATCTGAACATTTGTGATGATGTATTATTACAATGGCAAACTTCTATCAGCAAAAATAAGGAATGGCAATGGACAATTAAATGTCCCTGGTTGTCACCAATATTTTCATTGCCCTGATGATAGAAACAGCAAGGGCCTCTGAAACGTCGGTAAACTTCAATCAGATTGCATGGTACAACAACACAGAAGACTCACCACTGTGAAAACTTCAAATCCTACTTACTATATATATATATGTGTGTGTGTGTGTGTGTAAAAAGTTTAACTTTAATGAATACCACTGTAATGAAGATATCAATTTAATGCAATAAAAATCCATCCCACTATGAAAAAAATATAATCAGTTTCAGGAAAATTGTAAAAACAAAATCATTAAACGATATGACGCGCATTTTATGAAATCCACCGCAGCACATGCAAGACAGAGACAGGCAAGGGGAAAGAGAAAGGAGTTACAAAGGATCATAAATGTATGCTCATTATGCAGAACTGCAAGAACGTACACAATGGTCAAGGCTACAGTGTTTCACGGGAGAAACCCCATGAATAAAAATCCATCACCCATCACAACCCAAAAGTGCCAGCCAAGCACACATTTCACCCTACTACCATGAAACAGTATCACGTGAGGAGCATTTACATTGGTTGATCGCATGACCTTAGCTGCACGATCGAAACTGAAAACTGAATTAAGCGACAAACACGTCATATCAAGCTCTGTGAATCATGGAAAAGTGGTATAAGGCACATGAGCAAATCAAGGCAGACCCAAGCAAGAAGAAATACCACATGGATCATTTAAGCCACTCACTTCCACATGCAGCTTCCTGGTAACGGTGTCCTTTCCAATGAGAGTTGAGGCGTGTATAGTCACATGTATGTCTCCAAGGCGTGTTGGAACAATGGGGACATGAACTATTTGTGCATCTTGTGCGTTGATGTAGATAAAGAACTGGTGCTCCCCGAATGATGTTTCTGGATTGTATGACCTCACCTGGAATTGAACAATAATAAATGTGTACCTCTTAAACCAGAACAGAAAACTTCTTTGACAACAAATACATTCATGAAGATTTCCGTCTCAGGGATGACGGAGGCAGTATGACCTCTGAAACGTTGGTTAACATCAACCAGACTACACAGCGCAACAACCCAGAAGACGGAAATCTTCATACTCACCGCTGTGAAAACCTCAAGTCTTAAATACATTCATATTTTATAAATTATACTATGGAAAAAAACTGTGTGATACATATTATAATTGCCATCAACATCACAGGTTAAACTCTTGGCATTTTTTTCAGTTGCAAGTTTTACTGCTATATGTTTCCTCTTTTTATCAGATATTCCTGACATCTACCTTTCGTTTGTGAAAGAGCAGCTTCAGAATTCAGTTTTCAACCATTCGTTCTAAATGCCCTATTAACTTATCCATGCATAGTTCACAGATATCACAGAAACATTGTATTTTTTCTCTTTGTTGAAAGTTTGAAAGGACTCCTCAGAGAGCATTAAAAATGAATATGTTAACTAAAACATCTCCAGGAAGACAAAGAACCAGGTACAGAGATCAAATGAAAAAGGATAAAGAAGAATAAGGAGGAAATGGGGAAAGAGCGGACACATAATAAACTGAGAAGCATTTACAGTAGAACAGAGAAAAATGGAAAAGCCTTTGTCGTAAGAAAACCCACTCTGCTGGAAATGTCAATGCATCTATAGTCCGCGACTGTAAACTTGAGACTTGCGGGGTGAGGAAGTGGGATGAAGGAGGAAAGACAGCGTCTGCCTTTAACGCTACGGACTTCCTGCATTCCTTGCAAGTCTCAAGATTACAGTCGCGTACTGTACTGTTAATAATGGTAATGACAATAAAACAGTGCAAAAAATTTGTTGTATCATGACAAACATTAAACACAACTGATACCCGCAAAAAAATTGTATGATGACAAACATTAAACACAACTGATACCTGGTTTGACAAAGCCACTTAATTTGAATAACAAATAAACTTACAATTCCATTCATTCCGACATGAACGAACTTGTAGTCGGGAGACCCTGCCAGCACCACCGTTGCCTCAATTGGTGAAGGCATGTAATTGAAGACGGTTACTCGGATTCCCACCTGCTCTCCTTGCCGACTTGTTGTGGGCATCTCCACGTTAATAAAAAATGGCAGCACCCCAACATACTGCAAAGTCCAAACTCTCAGTCAGATACAATTCAATACACATGATGGTCAGTTCTGAACTTCTGTGTGTATGAAACTTCATCTCTGTCACAGACTGAATGTATTCAGTTTCACTAATATAAAAATTTCTACAGTTTTTTTTATCATTATTGTTAAATAACAGCAAAAGGAGAAAGAAAAATTACATTTTCAGAACTTTTGGAAAATTCTCTTGAATTAAAACTAAAATTACTGAAACAGAGAGAAAAGTATAGTACAATCTCTCAAACAAAATAATTAAACTTATGATAAAATAACAACTACAATTTTAAAAGCATCTTCATCTCAGACTAGTTTTCCATAACCCGTATTTGTAATTACTCAGAATATACATGTATTTTCCCTGATCATCTTAAAATCTCAACAGTGAAACCCTTGCACAAAAATGCATTTTATGTGATCAGTTTTTATGTGTACCAGTGCACGGAATATGACTGAACCATGAATATAAGACAGAAAAACTTTGTATTTTGTTTCTGAAAGTGCTACCCATAATATGTAATATGAATGAATGTAATAAGAAATACATGTACAGTTTTGGTGAGATATCATCATGGTAAAAGACCACTTTGGAATATAAGTATAGATGGGAAGATGAATTAATGAAAACGTATGGAGTACGGCTCACGGTCATCAAAATTCACAAGCAGTCAGCAACACGTCCACAGTCACAATTATCGTGCTTACCTGAATTGCTGTAGGAAGCATTCCAAAGCCCATAGTTGGGCTCACACTGAAGGCAGACACCATCCAGTGGGCAGGACGTTCAGGAACAGGAACGGTGAAGAGGTAGCGCCCATGAGGACCAATATTAACATCTTTCCACAACCATACATTTTCATATTGTCGCTTGATTCGACTAAAGCGGAATTTGCGGAACAGCGTCAATCTTGTTTCATTGTAGTATCCACCTGCAAACGCCCATAGTTCATACCATTAAAATTTCTCTAGGAGCAACAGATTTCAACTCCAAACTAAAGAAAATCTGCTTTTCCTTCAAATGCCAGTTTGAAAATATCTTCCTTCCCCACATATGCACTGAAAATGCTTAACAAAGTTTTTAATGGTACTTGGAGACTTGACTGAATGCACCCTCTAGCTCTTCATAAAAGCTACACTTCACGTAAATAGACATTCAGAACAATAACATGACACCATAGGCCTCTTAGTATTCAATATGACATCCTACTCATAACAAACTCTACCCTCCTAAATGCTGCTTGTGAATGAAAAAGCCTGTCATAATGACTTTATTTTGTATTTATGGGTTTCATATGATTCTTAGAACAATAAACAGCAATTATTTCGTAGGATTTGAGGTTTTCATAGCAGTGAGTCTGAAGATTGCTGTCTTCTGGGTTATTGCGCCTTGTAGACTGGTAGATTTCCACCAACGCTTCATCACCCTGATGACAGAGGCAGTATGACCTCTGAAACGTTGGTGGAAATCTATCAGACTACACGGCGAAATAACTCAGAAGACAGCAATCTTCAAATTTTTTACTGACAATAGGCAGTACTAATGTTTTTATTGCTGAAAATAAAATATTTGTTCTTCCTCCCCTCCCATTTCCTCCCAGAATTTTCAAAATACTATCCACCCCATCTTCAGACACATTACTTATGGAGATTACGCTCTTAGGAGTCTACTTCTGGACCACAACTGAACTCAGGCCCTCATAAATATTAAGCATAAGTGCTTAGCAGTGAGCTGTTACATTCAGTCTCAAGTACCATATTTACTTACATATAACATATGTGCATGTATGACTCACATCCCTATTTTTGGATTGGAAAATTAAAATCATGTATCCACGTATTACATGCTTCAAAATAAAATATATTAGTGAAAACAAACTTTAAAAGAGTATTATGTAGTATGAGATATCTCAAACTTTAAATCAGACAGATGGTGAAGTAATTTCTGGTAGCTTTTCTCTGAGAGCAACAGAAAATGTAAATTCTTAATCAGAGATTGTTAACACACTCAGTTGTCTGCAGGAATCATCTGGTTCATTGGAAAAACCCTCACAAAAGACAAATTTTCACCAGGAATTTTTGTAAGAGTTCAAGAAAGTAGATGAATGACTGATAAGTTCGTCCTCCAATGACAGAACGTGGTGTGGTAAAGGTGACCGGGAGCTTCATTAAGCCATAATAGTTTTAGACAGCTTTTGAGGACATATGACAGAAAGGGCGAAGGCAAAAGTTAATGAAGATTCTGATTTTCTCAAAATCCCTGATAGGATGACCAAGCTTATACAACCTTTGGATGTTGTCAAAACTGGCCATTCAAGGTAACTTTCCAGTGAATTTACAACTAGCAGATGACAACCACAAAGCACTAGAATCAAGCGCATGCCACTGCTGATGGTGTGTAAATTGATCCTTGCAGCATGGAACTCACTTTCTCCAGAAATTCTGGTATAAACTTACTGGAATTTCCAAAAAAATAGGTGGAAGTAAGGATCAGTGACACTGACAATGAAAGTGAGACAAATGATAACGGTAAAGGCAGCGATATCGGTAGTAACAGTGATTGACAAACATGTCAGTTAATTGTTGATTGATGACACAATATAAATCAAACTGCATATTACTGACAAATAAATATTAGCTTTGAAACTGTATCTGATAACAAAATTTTACTGTGCACAAAATAGAGCCACTTCCTTCCCCCCTTTAAATATGTTATGTGTATAACACGTACTCTAATTTTAATAACAAACCATTTCAAAAAAAAATCTGTGTTAAACACAAGAAAAATCACTGCCCCTGGTATTCCAGCCCATAGGCAGTCACTACTTCTTGTTTGCACTCTCTTTACTTACAACTGGCTTCATCGGTCCCATCTTCACAGTCAAGAACTCCATCACATTTTTTGTTAATCCGATAGCAACGACCATCCAGACACTCATGCAGTCCTTGTGTCACATTACAGAAGTCCGGTCGACGAGGTACCAGTACATCGCTGAACACTATAAGGCCTGCATATCTGCAACATAAAGCACAAACTTCCAGCTTCTGATAGACAATAGTACTGTAATGTGGGATTTTTAAAAATGCAGTCCCAATTTTCTAACAACAAAAACAAGCAGTACAAAATGAACTGACTCTTCTGTTGGTTTGAGATAAATCCACATTAAAATATAAGAGAGAATATTTTTAATAATCAAATACTGGTAGAAAATGACCTTTCCTAACATTCAGGGGTTCTCAACCTGTGTCCTCCAATGTGTTTCATGCAGACAGCATATATTTTTCTAAGACCTACCATGTTTCTCTATTTAGTGAAAAAAAGTTCCCCAATTTCACAGAAGCATGTTTTGTTAATGGAGTCAGTATTTCACAGTCTCAGTCACTGTTTTCACTGTTCACTGTTCAACTTAATGAAGAAATCAAGAACTATAATTTGTCTTACTGATAAACATTTAAAGGGATGTAAATCTCTGTAACAGAAATTAAAGTTAATAACTCTATCTCGGAAACCGCTCGGAATAGGACGCATGTACATATACGCTTTTTTGCTTAGAATGACCGATACTATGACCTCCCAGAATATTAGCCTTTCCTCCTTGGACACTCTGTATATGGATATTTCCAAGCAAAGACAACAAGGTTTAAAACAAATGAAAAATGAAATATTGTATTCAGACACTTCAAAGAAATAACATACAAATATTACTTACTCGAATGTGCGGTTAGCATCAATGCCATAAGTAGATGAAGGAAAATACACTATCTCATCTGGGTTGCCTTCATGAGAAAACCATTTGTGAATGAATGTACCATTAGTTTCTTCGTCAAATGTCCCCATCTTTGTTATAACCTAAAAAGGAACAAGTTCATCACATGTTCATCAAATAAGAACAAGAGTCAACTCAACATGTTATAAAAGAACGTCCTCATGCAAGCAACTAAGATTTCAAACAAAGTTAATAATTCAGAGAAAACATTCTCCAACCTTTTCACAATAATGGCTGGGTCAACAACTTCAATTCTTATTGCAATTTGATGGCAATGCTTAACTAATGCTCTGATGAGGGACCCTGACCATCTGCCATCATGAGTATTCCAAAGCATAAAAATGTTAAATTTTCAATGGAAATCTTCGTATTGTATCAACAGACTTAATTCATAAAAAAACAATACTGAATTGCAACAAAAATATTCCACACACACAATCCATTTGGACTTCACTATTACAGTACCAAAAACACATTTTATTTCAGTGATGACGCAAGTTCAGAGCACAAAAACTTCTTGAACGTATGATATCATGGACAAGATTTTAGTGTAGTTGCAGAGTGGAATTTCTTTGCTACTTTCCTTTTGATGGTGGATGGATTGATGGAAAGGCTGAGTGACTAGTAGGATGTGCTAGTCTTCAAGCGACTGAGACAAACCAAATTTTAACACCACCAGAAGATTTATATAAATGGGATGATACAATTTTTTTACAGAAATTACATTCTTCTACGTAACGCAGAAATATATCGAGGCACATGTTGTAAGACTGACACACAGGATACAACAAAATTATCCCTAGTTCATGGAGTTTCGGCCCATTAATAAATCAGAGCTTAAGAAACATTTCATGTCATCAAGAATTATATGGGCACCAAGGTAAGTGTGACAGGTGTAAGTGATGTTGCAGTATAGACTCCATCCTAGTCTTGATGAGTGATAATACACTATAAAAGGGTGGAGATTAGCCCAGTCATTTTCCCAGTGGATTACAGGATCGCCAGTAGCATAATTGAGATTTGAACTTTTTGCATAAAAATATAAGTTCAGAGACCTACAACTGCAATGTTAAAATGGTAGGACATAAAATTCAGAAAGGCATACCGGAAATAAAAAAATACCATTCTGATAGGGGGACAGAGATGAATGATTACATGAAACAGGACGTGATACAGACAGTAACAGATGAGATTTTGAAATGATGGGCTTCAGCAGAACTCAACGTAAATCTGGTAATTCCTGGAGTAGCTTCTGTTAAATCAAATGATTAAAAAATCTCAAGACAGTGCTGGGATTCAGCTCAGGCCCTTTTAACTCTTTCTTGCACCCCAGTAAAATTAACATCCTCTGCAACACTTAATTTTTGCATACCAAAATATGTAGTGTGTAAGATGAGATTTAGAAACGATGGGCTTCAGGAGAACTCAACATAAATGCTAACATAAATCTGGTAATTCCAGGAGTAGCTTCTGTTAAATCAAATGATTAAAAAATCTCAAGACAATGCTGGGATTCAGCTCAGGCCCTTTTAACTCTTTCTTGCACCACAGTAAAATTAACATCCTCTGCAACACTTAATTTTTGCATACCAAAATATGTAGTGTGTAAAAGGTATTTACATTAACAGCCTGAAGAATATAATTATACGGCAAATATAAATGGTGTTGCGAAAGTAATAAATACACTTGAGGCATTTCCATGAAGTAAACTCACTGTATCTGATGCAAATGTAACGTGAAGAGTAATATCAATTCCACAGATTCCGCCCTCAATGAAAAATGCTGGTTTAGCTTATGCCGAAGGGAATTAATTACATTCTAAGGCATCTTACCTTAGCATACGTGAGCTCATTGCCAGCCTGCATGGTGTAGAAAGCACGGTCAATACCAGACAGTCCAACATATGCTCCGGGTTCCCCATAGATGGCAACTTCAACCTTCTCTCCTGTTCTCGCCTTCCGGTTATTGATGAACACAGTAAACTGAAGCAGATAACAAATTTCTCTTTACAACACGATTATAAACACTGCTTATTTCATCAGTGGTGATATCTGAAAAATAAGTAAAATACCCAGATCTGTATTTGAGTCAACACATCTCTAACATTATAACACATAAGCTGACTTTATTAGATCATAGTTTTCACTGTTTTATTGTTTTATCTTTACCACCTTTATTATTTTATCGAGTAATTACAACACTTTTTACATTTTAGCACTTTACCTTCTACCAGCCAAACAGATCCAAACCACATTACTAATTACGTAGTTCAGTAAGCGGTGTTTGACGCTTAATATATCTACAGCACACATGGATATGACGATACACAAAAACAAGTAGTATTAATGATCTATTTTCATATGTGTAATATACCTCAGTTGCGTTGACAGCATACCAATTTTTGTTATTTACTACCTATACAACATGATGCAACCAGTTTAGATTTAGAAAATATATTTTTCTTCCATATTTCCGTGACCAAATTTTAGCCTTTCCTTTAAGAGGAAAGTAAGAATCGTAAATCATGTTCATATGTGCATAAGACATGCCAGTTATAACTTTTGAACCTACAGATAAAAGTCTGTCAAACTAAAGAAAGAATATTCCTGGTAGTCGTCAACTTGGATGCTGGACGAAGCCCAGAGCCAGTCTGGACACGAAACCAAGAATGAAATTCAAGTCATTCAGCCTGTAGCTGGTCAATTTACAAATCAAGCTATCCTGAGTCATTCACCATAAAGTACACCACCTCAAATGTTCTTGTGCCCAACATATAAGGGTATTTCATCATTTAAATGCAGACATATTTTATAAAAAAAATGTTCAGGTCAAACTTGAACCACTGCCATTGGCGCAAATATATGCTTTCCACATCAAGAAACAACTGTAAAACAAAAGCATCAGAAAGATATTCACGACAACACTCTAACAAGCTAAAATATATTACGCACAGAACAGCATAAAACATATTGCTTTATGTGGAAAATTTTCAATTTTAGAACTAGTCTCTTGATAAAGTAATGCTTCTGGTGTCATCTATTCTCAAATTTCAACTCATAAGCTTCAGATACTTCACAACTACTCACCTTGTTGCGAGAGATGCCATTGACGGGGAACGTCAAACTGTCTGCAACGATGTCCCCATACCGTCCAACTTGGTACACCAGGACAGTTGCAACGGGTGCCATCTCAGCACTCAGAGTAATGGCAAAAGTCCGTATTGTAGACTGCATCTTCTCCTCACCACTGAGCAAGATGATGCCCTTCGACATGATAATGAAGTGGAACATCTCCATGTAGAAATTGCTCTGCACATGTAGGATGATGTATTCCCCAACCTGTAAATATCAACAAATTAAATTCCTGATACTCCTTGATATCACAATGATACTAAAAAAACTGAACGCAGAAGTTTCTCCACAAAAGTATGAAAACCTGCAAAACAATAACATAACATACATTTACTAGACACGTGCAAGACTAAATTTTCAGTTCAAGAAAAAATTAAGACAAGAACGTGGAAAATGCAGAGAACCCAGAAAAGGAAATCCAAATTAAACTACATGACATATTTTAGTTGGAACTAAAACCACTGGAATTGGAGGTAAATTAAACTTTGAATGACAAGTATTTAAATCTCCGTGTTTAGCCAGGTGGTCAGAATATTTCGGCAATTACATGCCTTAGATGGCAGAAAATCTTTAAATACATTTTTAGCCTAAAAGTTTTTAATAAAATGCAGGCTGTTAGGTCTGAACCAAACTTCCCCATATCAAAGTTTAAAAATAATCAGCCTGACAGCATAGTTTTCATACATTTTCAATTTTATCCTGCATTTTTCTCTTTACTCTTTGAAATATTGGATAACAGATTACTTAATAAAGGGAAAGAAACATTTTAAAACACCATAGCTTCAAAATGGCATTTCCTGTGTCGCAGTAATATATGTTTCTAAACAGCTTACAGATATCCAACTGGTCAAGGTCTTATAATAGTTGTTTGTATTGTTAGAAGTTTTTGGCAGCGCAATAATATAACCATATAGAGATTTTGTTGACAAGTTAATTGCGCTAGCATTGTCAACAGTTATAATACCGATAGCCGGGGCAGTCTGCTGTGTCCAAAGCAAAAGCAATTATCTGAAAATTCTTTAAATTCGAGATTGAAAAGTCAATACTTGCATTGAGTCCCCCCCCCCCCCCTTTT